AGGGAGCGCCTGTGCCGCGTGACCCCATAGTCCCCACAGCAGGGAGTGGTGCCCAGGTTCTAACCGCGGGGCGCTCAGGTCACGGTGCAGGACCAAGGCCCCGGGGTGTCCGGGCTTCCGTCCGCCTCCACACACCCAGGCTCGACCCCGGGAGCCCTTGGTGACCTAGCAGTCCGAGCCGACCCCTACCCCGACCCCCTCTCCCATCCCCCATGCCGGGCGGCCTCCGCGGTACCCCAAACCATGACCACCCTTCTCCCCACCCCACGTCAGCAGAGCCTTTGAACAAACCAGCCCGTCCTGAGTTCACACAGCTGTGTCACCTTGGGCGAGTCCCACCCCCTTCATTTCCTCTCACCAACTGCACTGGTGACAGCCGCCTGCAGCTGCCCTGCCGACACAGGCCCTGCGGTAGCCGCACGTCTGGTGGCAGCTCACTCTGTGGCTGGCTGGTGGTAACCAGGGCCGCTTCTGAGCTCCCCTGTTTCCCGAGGGCTCTCTACCAGCAGTCAGGACCCCGCTATGTCCCCCACTTACCCACCAAGGCAGGCCTGGGCTGCCAGATGTCTGGCCATACCTGGCTGGGGCCCCAATCCTGGGTTTGGCCTTAAAGGGCCATGTCAGGTCACCAGCACAGCCAGCATGCTGGGTGGGTATCATTCCCACCTGAGCCAAGTGAGGCAAGCAGAGCTGAGACCCCCGCACCTCTGGCAGGTGTCCTGGAGGGGCTGGGGGTTCAGACATGGGCCCCCAGATTTGGAGCAGGGGTTGTCTCCGGGAGGACCTCATGAGTTGATATCTGGCCCACACCCACGAGCTGGCCTTGGCCAGAGCTGGGGTGTGTTGGCCCTCCCTGCCCTGGACCCACCCAGGCTCCAGGAGGGTGGGCGGGCCTGGGTCCACAGCCCAGCCCCCGGAGAGCAGGGGGAGGGGCTGTGGGGAGGTGACACACACACCCACACTGTCACTTGTTAGGGAAAGGTTTATTAAGAGTCAACCACAGAGTAACAGCAAAAAGACACAG